AGTAAATAAAGTTAAATGAATAAATCACCAAAAACATAAGTCACAGAAACACTTTCACAGTGACGTTTTCCTTCTGTTATTCACAGGATTAACTATTTCGAGTAAATTGAATTATTTTAAAATTGAGAACTCGAAAGGCTATTTTAATGATACCATAATTAGTTACACTATCCATGGCATGAAGGCATTTAGTTCACACCACAAAGAAAAGTAAAAAATTATATTTCACATGGAGCTTTCAAAAATGTATGTCAATTTTATGTCAATATATGTCCCTTTCAAAAATATATGTTGGGGGGGCAAGGGCAACATACGTAACCTAAACATCTGTACCCCCATAATATGCTGAAATAAAAAAAAAAAGTCAATTTTTTTCATGAAAATGTATAGACAATACAGTTTTTAAAAATCTAATAAAAATAAATACAGGAAGGCACTGGTGTATTTGAAAAATGGTGCAGGTATTTTTAGACAGATCTGTGTTGAAATACCAAGTTATACCTTTACCGGCCGTGTGCCTTTGGGCAATTTACTTCACGAGCCTAATCTTAAAATAGGGATGATAATGCTCTACTTCCTTACAGGTTATTGTAAGAATTAAATGAAACAGCATATGTGAAAGACTACTGGCATGCTGCCTGCCTGGCACATGGTGGTTAACCCTTCTAAGTCATCACTATTGTTTTTTTAATCCTCTACTAATCATTTGGATTAAATTATAAAGGTGATATTCCTATTGTCTCAGTACAGAGAAGTTGTATAAAAAGCGAACTTTCCCAAATTGATTCTTGACTAACAAGACATAAACTCCATCATTAGAAGACAAAAATAATAGATTTTCAAGCAAAAGAAACCATTCACCTTTAATGCTAAATCTCTGTTGCTCTGCCTCTACCAACAAAGGTACTCTTTTCCGAATATACTAGATTCAAACAAATTTTTTTAAAAAGCTGTTTATAACCAAATTCTACTAAACTGAGAATGGCCTCAGATATAATAAAGCTACATTTTAGAATACAAAATTTAAAACCACATATACCAGGAAACAGAAGCTATTTAATAAAACATTAACAATATTGACATCAGTAGACAGGTACTGGAGACTAATGAGCCCAACAGCTCTGAAAAAATAAACGGGCAAAAATCCATAACTTTAATGGTTCTCTTTAAACAAACAGGTAATTTGGCTTCAGAACATTCTAGGTGAAAATCTCACTATGTAGACTCCAATTCCATACCACTCTATACAGAAATGATTGTGTCAAGAGGGGGTTAAGACAGGATCAAATAAGCAAACTATCACCAATCTCCCCATTCCTACTCCCAGGGCAAATTTTATCGATCAACAGTCTAGTCCTGTGGCTCTACAGAGCCTGAATATAAAACTGGAACCCTTCTCAAAGCAACCACAGCTGGAAAAGTTTAAACCTACCTGCCCTCCAAAATTAAGAAAGAAGCATCCTATCATCAACAGAGCATCTGAGAATACCAGTCACTCTCAGTTCTGCCCTGCAAGCACTGTAGTCACTATAATCTTGAATGATGTGCATCAGCTTTTTCTGTTCTCCCCAGATGTCTCATTGCAACCCCTTTCTCCCTGACCCTCTACATCCCACTCTGTTAGTGAGACAAGAAAACCAAAATCAAATGGAACAAAAACACAACAGAAACGCAGGCTGCTTCTCTCAGGAGATGCAAAATCTCAAGTTTTCAAATTCCAAATCTAAGGCCCTAAAATGCCTAGCTGTGAATTTATGTGAATACAAGTTTAATCAGTCTCCTGGTATGGCAAAATTCCATATATGGGGTTGCCCTGTAATAAAAGAATTGAGCATCAACAGGAAAACTATTAGAATAAAAAAACTTAAATATCCAAGCTTATGCAATTTCCTTGGATAGCAAAAATGTACATCTAACACTGAACCTTCCATAATAGCTTTCCTTCCTCTACTGTTAGCTCATGGTCTATTCCCTTGCCCCTGCTGCTGCCACACCAGGTGCTCTGAGAGCTCATGATCTGTTGCCACTACAACAGGAAGCTGGTGGACAGAGTACAGCCTTGCTGGGTAGCTTGATTTGCTTCTGCAATTTGGATTACAAAGTTCAAATAAGGAGGGATACCATGAGGCAAATCAATATAACCAGGGCAAATCCATCCTTATGTTTCTAAGTTCGCAAGTAGGGAACAACCAGAGTTTAGATAGTGAGGGCTTAAAATACTTATTCAGATCTATTCCAAGCCTGAATCAGACAGTGAGAGTTATGCCTGAGAAAAACCTATTTTGCAAAATGCCCATAACTGACCCCTGGGAGGAAAGGGAAAATAAGGGAGCAAAAGCTGCCCTCCTCTTGCCCCAGCTGTGAGACATATGGATGTCTCCAACATGCTTCCAGCACCATCCACCATCCTGTTCTTAGGGGAAGAAGGAAGCAGTGCGGCTCATCTGCATTACAAAAACACTGCAGCCACTTTGCTATATCTTTATATTCGTGTGCATCAACTATCCCACATACTTTTCTTTCACATGATTTAGATATTTCCATACTGATAAAGATGGATTTAACAGAGCTAAAAATTCTTAAGGCAAAGAAATTGATAAAAAACTATAAAACAAGAACTCCAGGCTAAGTGATAAGATTCTCTCTCTCTCTCTCTCACTCACACACACACACACACACACACACACCCACCCCCCAGCAAGAGGCATCTGATTTTCACTACTATTCAATGCCACATAAAAGTAGGCCACTTACAGAATTATTCTGCATCCTCATTTCATAGGCTGCGTGTCTCGGATTACTGGCTACGTGAGAACCTGGTGAATTTCTTGAACTCAAGGCATGAGGGGTTAATATTCCACTAGGAGTGAAAGCTGGTTGATCTCTCTAACGTAAATGGAAATGAATATAGAAATTAAAATTAAATCACAACAACACAGATGACAGGAACAAAGGAGGGCAATGGAATAGAGTTCTTACTGTAAGTACTTAACTACTAAACTCACTAAAAGGCCAAATGGATTTCTGTTAACATTACAGAGTTGTCAACACCTTGATTTGATGGTGACTTACACCCTATAAACAACAGTCAATAATACTTAATAACCCTACCCTGAAACTATAACAATAAATACACTGTCCTAATATATAGAAAGAATCTATTCAAGTCTCATTATGCTAACCCGCTGTTTATTTACAATTTCAGAAAACAATTAAGACACAATTTCAGGCAAATAAAAATAATACAATGATTAAAGTAAAAAAAAAAATAAGTCAAGTTTGACTTATACTTAGGAAATACAACTTTTATTTACTCTTCACCTTGCTAAAAATTAACTCTTTGTTTCCAGTTAGGTGATAGTCTTGGCTGACTGAAAAAACAGATATTGACTGAAAGAAAATAGTAAGTAGAAATCAAATATGCCCCTCCCAATCTAAGTGGTTTTAAACCTACCTGCAACAATAAAATAACTCTACTTTTCTCCCTTGTTTCCTGGAATTACTTAATTCTAATAAAACATGACCATAAAAGCAGTCCCTAAACTCCACGGGTTTGAAAATCCAGTAGGGAAGACAAGAAGAACAAGAAGTAATGAAGTCAAATGACTATAAAGCATAATGCAATTAAGTAAGAAAAAAAATGTCACAGGCAGGAAGCATGAGAGTTAAGAGAATAATGGACCAACAAGGGAGGCCTTGTGGAAAAGGTAAGATGTGAGTTGCAAAGTTGTAAATCCATTCGGCAGTACCAAATGAAGGCAACACTGCATCAGTAGGGTCATGGTGTATATAAAATACAGCAGGGGATAAATAAGCTGGATAGTTGGAATTCAACCAGATCATAGTGTGCACTGAACACCAAACTAAGACAGAACTGGATTCTGAGGGGATGAAGAAGTCAGTGGTGATTTTGGAGCAGAGAAACAACGAAGCTTAGAGTGTTGTGTTCTAGGAAAGTTAACCTGACAAAGACATAGGAATAAAACAGAATAACATTCAAGAGGATACAAAGGGTTGACTTTTCATTACAAAAACAATACTGGATTGCTGTAAACAATTCAAAGAGCTAAGTACCACCTGCCTCCCACCTCCTGCCTCCTTCCCCCCAAACTCCAGAGCTTTGAAAGAGCCTCTTTAAAATCAACACCAGTATTCTTTATCCAGGTAAGAAGGCAGCTGGGTGGATATTATGTCCCTAACTCCAACTGGATAAGGAATAAAGCTTCTGAAATGAACATAATCTTCACAAATTACAAACTTATGCTATTGCCAATCTCATGAAATTAATTAAAACTCACCTTCATTCTCTTTCTTTTTTCTTTCTGTCGTCTTCTAAAACTGTCCTAAAAGTATAAAATCCACATATTCTGTCAAATAATTACACAAAAATGTCAGAGTTAAACATTACCAGGAATGATTCGGGAGATAATTTAAATTATAAAGGAAGATCCCAGAAATCTAGGTACATGATTAAACTAGGCAACAGACTGTATGTTCAAAGTGTTGCTTAACAGAACTTCAGCTTGGTAGAGAAATTGAATTTAAATACAATTTAATTGCTCTTAATTTTTTTCAGATAGTTTTTGACATCATTTCAGGAAAATGCAAGAACCATTACAAAGACCCTTGGTTCTACCCTGGAGCAAATAGGCTGTCAGTATTAAGAAGATACAAATAAGTATAAGGAAATAGTAATTCTTAAGTTTTAGTTGAATAGAGTTAATAACTAAGATGACAGATTTTTCAAAAAATCAATAAGACAATTTTATGAGACTCTCACCTAAAAAGGGCTTGACAGTTCCTAACTCTGTCGCATGCATGGCGTAACAGAGAAAAAATAGAAGTAGGACTCTATTCAAACATTAAGTCCAACCCCAGCTTCCAAAAAGACAATCCAAGGAAAAGGAAGGAAGGAAATTCACCGCTTACTCTGGCCCAATTTAATTCACAGGAACAGGTCCAGTCCACATAGATTCTCTCCCTCCACTCTTTTCCAAAACGCAGCTATGGTTTCAACTGGACAGGATTTTGGGTTGTACTTGCTTCCCACTAACTCTGGGCCATTCAAAGCCCTCCCATGCCCATGTCCAAGTTTCCCGGAGTATCAAGAAGTGAAACAACAGCTAGGGTGGCCAGGGCTGCTGCTGTGGCCTAAAACAGGGGCCAAGAGGTACTGTACTGATGGTCATCCTAGTAGTTGCACTTCTATCTCTTCCAAGTCAGTCCTGTCAAGTGCAACATAATACCTTAATGAGATCTGAAATTGGTGCTTTCTGCTGGGAGAAGAGCTGAACCTTGGATACATAAGTTTGCTGCTATGAAGTGGAGCCCAGGTGACAAACTACCTTAAAACTTCCTAAGATGTGGAAACTACTGATTTCTTTAATCAAGCTCTGGCCCCATCTTCAGTGAAACTTATCTATGTCACCAATGACCTAGAGATTATAAAATTCATTAGCCAATTTTCAGTCCTTATCTGACCAAGACTCTTTTCTCCTTGAATCACTATACTCTCTCCACTTGGCTTCCAGGACTCTACATTCACCTGGTTCTCCTTCTTCCATCTTGCAAAGTGCCTTTACTCCTCAACTCCCCAACCACTTCATGTTTGTGCTCCCTGGGCCCAGTACTTGGACCTCTCCACTTCTCTCCTCCCATAGGACTAATCAGCCAGTCTCACAGCTTTAAATACCATCTACATGCTGATGACTCCTCAACCAGGCCTCTCCCCATTCAACATCTCCATTTTGCCATCTCAAACTTAACAAGTCCAAAATGGAATTTCCCCACCTCACCTTTGCATATCCCACAGTCTTTCTCATGAGGGTTGCTCAGAACATTTTTCAGTCACTGGGACAAACACTCTGGAGTCACTGTTGACACCTTTTTGACACCTTTCCTTCTTTCACACCCTCCATTTAATCCATTAGTCAATCCCATTGATTCTGCCTTCAAAATATGTTCAGAATCCAATTACCTCTTTATCATCTCTAATGCCACCATCCAGGCTCCCTTGGATTATTACAAAAAAGCCTCCTCATTGGGCTCACTGTTTTGACCATTGCCTCCATACAGTTAGTTTCAACATGGCTGCTGTAGTGATCCTTTTAGAATATGTACCAGATCTTGATGCAGAACGAAAGCTACAGTCCTTATAATGACCTATTGGGTCCCACAAGACTGGGCCCTCCATCCTCTTTCTGACTTCCTCTTCTACTCCTTCCCCCTTGGCTCCTACCATACTGGCTGCTTGCTGTTCTGTGGACATCCTGGCTATGCCCCTGCCCCAGAGCCTTGGCACTAGTGATTCCTTCTGTCTAAAATGCTCTTCCTGCAAAACCCTGCATGGTGTACTCCCTCACATCCTTCAGGTCTTTATTCAAAGTCATCTGTCTGTGAGGCCTTCTCTAGTCACCACTTCTAGAACACTCCATCTCCACCTTCCCAAATGCCTCTTAACCTGCTTTAGTTTTCTCTGTGGCACTTAACACTAATAGGTTATGAGGTTTACTTAGTTACTTTGCTTATCATCCAGCTCCCCTAGGAGAATGTAAGCTCTATCAGGGCAGGAATTTTTATCTGTTTTGTTTGTTTGTTTGTTGTTATATCACTAGCACTCAGAACACTGTCTGGCATACAAACACTAAACAAATAATGGCTGAATAAATGAACAACATTTGCAAGATAAAAGGCAAATACTGAAGCTCATAAAATAAAAAGCATCACATTTCTGGCATAAGTGCTCAATTCTAATAACAAATATTGTATTCCTTTCCTACCACTTGTTCTGCTGGTCTGTTAAATACCTATTTCTAAGTGTGGCAGTCACACTTAAGCAGAACAGAAGGTCCACCCGGGTGGAACTTACTCATCTCTAATCTTTTTTGTGTTTATGAGCTCCTTTGAAAATCTGTCAAAAGTCACAGACTTTCCAGAAAAATACATATACCCAGAAACTTTAATATTTTAATATTGGATTTCTGAGATTTTCCCCTGATGTCCAACCATGCTAAAGGACATCATATGACTTCAGGGACACCAAAAAAGCTTCAAAGCTTTAAAATGCCCTACCAGATCAGCTGGAAACCATATTAATTAATTAAGTCTACGATACTATGGTATCTATAAAATTCCATACTTCCTCCTCTAATGCCAACTTATCACCAATATTTAATGGTACAGAGTCTGCTAAAGTCGCATAAAAAAAACTTCTAGCAAAGGTTTTTATATGAGGTAGTACATAGCATTAGGTTATTAAGTATGAAATGTCTGACTTCCTTAAGTACTAAGTTTGATACTTGATATCTCTGATATTTCCCCCTGACACTTCTAGTTTTATTTTTATTGTGAAGGTACATCCTCAGTCTTTCAAACACACATTTTAACTTGTGATTATCTTTCAAATTTTTTTTTAAGAGCAACTCTTGCAAAACTATGGATAAGTCAAAAATCTGTTATGTTCGAATATGAGTTCCGTCTTGGACCCAATGCAGTGCAAACTGCTCAAATACCAATGAAGTGTTTGGGAAGGATGTAGCTAATGAACACACAGTGCATCAATGGTCTGGGAAGTTCTGCTCTGGTGATTTTAATCTTGAAAATCAGCCACGTGGGCAACCTGAGACCAAGGTGGATACTGATGAGCTGAAAGCTGTAGTGGTAGTGAATCCATCTCAGCCTATGCGTGAATTGGCAGCAAGGTTTGACATTACCATTCCAACAATACTAGACCATCTGAAACAAATCAGCAAGGTAAAGAAGCTGGATAGACAGGTGCCGCATGAATCAAACAACCATCAGAAGAGAAACTGTCTTTTTTTTTTTTTTTTCAGACAGAGTCTCACTGTGTTGCCCAGGGTAGAGTGCCGTGGCGTCAGCCTAGCTCACAGCAACCTCAAATTCCTGGGCTCAAGCGATCCTCCTGCCTCAGCCTCCCGAGTAGCTGGGACTATAGGCATGCGCCACCATGCCCGGGCTAATTTTTTCTATATATTTTTAGTTGTCCAATTAATTTCTTTCTATTTTTAGTAGAGACGGGGTCTCGCTCTTGCTCAGGCTGGTTTCAAACTCCGGAGCTCAAACAATCCGCCTGCCTCGGCCTCCCAGAGAGCTAGGATTACAGGGGTGAGCCACCACGCACGGCCAGAAGAGAAACTGTCTTGAAGTTTGCCTTTCTTTGTTGTCACAACGTAAAGGTGAACCATTTCTACACCATACTGTTATGTGTGATGAAAAATGGATTCTTTTTCACAATCACAAATGTTCGGCACCATGGCTGGATAAAGTGCCGAAACACAGTTCAAAACAGAATATTCCTCAAAAAAAGCTAATGGTGTCTGTTTGGTGGTCCAGTGCTAGTATTACCCACTACAGCTTCATGAAACCTGGCCAGTTGATGACAGCGGATGTCTACTGCAACCAGTTAGATGAAATGATGAGGATGCTTGTGATTAAGCAGCCGAGATTAGTCAATAGAGAGAGGCCAATCCTCTTGCAAGACAATGCTGGCCCACATGTTGCACAAACGATGCTGCTCAAACTACAGAAGCTGGACTTGGAAACTCTCTGTCATCCACTGTGTTCACCAGACCTTGCACCAACTGAGTACCACTTCTTCCAGGATTTGGACCAACAAGCTGTAGAAAATGCCTTTTGTGATTTCATTGCCACTCACTCTCCAGGCTTCTTCGCTGCTCGCAAAAACAAGCTACTGTTATGGCAGCAAAACTGTGTCAACACGTTAGGCACATACTTTGATTAACTGTACTGCTTCTTGTTTGAGACATAATAAACTACACTTCTGATTCGAAATCAGACATTTCGTATTTAATGACCTAAATATTAGTTTTTTGTTAGGTAGGTGTAAATGGGAGCAGGTCAAGTGAAGCCACCATAATTGTTGAAAACAGTTAAAAATAGCTATTTCAGTAGACATTGACACCCACAAGCTAGTTCTGTAACTTTAATTTTACATGTGAAAACTTCTGCCATCACAGAAAAAGAGTACCAAGTACTTACTGAAGACTTTTGGGAAAAAGGCTTACAGTCAACTCACTATGTAACATAAAATGATGATTACTAGCTTCAGTACACAAAAGTTGAAGAAAATAGAAAATCTTGTCGGATTCAATGACATGTTTTAATCTGCTAGGAGATCATGATGCAATGTAGCAATATTATGCTGTTATTTGCTTAAAATACCCATATACTTTTTATAAAATCGGTTTCTGAAAGGATTTCCATCACTTTCTTTCCAAGAAGCTTTGTTTCTAACCTGCTCATTTCACTCACTGTGGGCCTCCCTTGCCACCCCTCACAATAAGCCTCCCAGCCCCCAGCCCCTAGCCCAGACTAGGTGCCTGCTCATCACACTCTGACCCTCAGGCAGCACCAATGGCTAGAAGCGGCTCTTCTTTATCCTTAAATGTCCATACTTCCCTCGTCTTCTCCTGGAGGCACTTTCACTCCACACAAGGGGAAATTCAAGTTCACACTCATGGCTTCAAGTACCTCCCATCGGCTAATGGTTCTCAAATCTCTTTTCAAAAGACTTCTGCTCCAAGCTTTACATACACTCGCTCAACTGCTTGATGGACTCCTCTAAGGTGTCCTGTAGCCCCTCAAACTCAACATCTCTAAAATGAAACTCCATTTCCACCAAGTCCCCACCCCAACCCATCATATACCTAGTGCTTGCTATCTTAGGGAATGGCACCAGCAAACTCTTAACTCCCAACTCCCTAAGCTGGAAACGAGGACTTTTCACCTAAGCACTCACCCATCAAATGCAATCAATTTCCAAGTGCTTTGTTATTTCTTTCTTTTATGTTTCAATTTCTTACTTAAGAGCTGCAGCCCTCCCCAGATCGTACATTCTCCCACCCCTTTGTCCTGGCTAATACAATTCAACCCAGAATCCCTATACTTTACTCCTAAAATACAAGTTCTTAGGTCTTAACCTATCTTCCTGCCTATACAACATGGCAGCCACTAGCTCAATCCTGGTCCCTAGCCTTGGAACCCTCTTTCATATCCTATTTATTAGATGGCTGTTGGACTTATATCCTAATAAGATTAAGAAGATAGGAAAAAACATTATAGTGCATCTCAAAGAGTGTGAAATACATAGTTCCACACAGCATAACCTTTATGAAATAATCAAAAGCACTGACCGCTCATGACGACATTAGTGTTGATACACCATAATGATATAACAACACACCCAAAGAGGTTAAAGTACAATCACAGGATCATCATAGCCTATTAGAGACAGGAGCAATTTTAGCTACTGCAATAGAAACACTTTACCTCATCATCCTTTCTCTTTTTAAAAATGCTATCCTCAACTTCACCAACTGCTAACATGATCATCTGTACTCTTTGCAGATTGACATAACCACTTTCTGTAAGGTAACCCTGTAAGTGATAAAATACATGTAAAATGATCTTCTTACAAAAGCAAATACTTGTGTTTTGAAATTATTCAAGAGTAAACTTACCCCAGTTTTGTGTACCACATTTTTGTATATGTTAACCAAACGGTCAATTGCACCTTCCCTGCCACCAGGAGACAAACATTATGTGTTAGGACCAGCAGGCACTGTAAAGGCAAGAAGTCTAAAACAATACTTTGAAAAACCACACAAATACACATACCTAATCTCTAATGATGGCAAATGAGGAAGGAAGTCATTTCCCACAAAGAAGCACATGAAGACCCAGTCATCAATGCTCCTCTCAACATCAAATGTGAACGGAAGGCTGGCCATGGTGAGTTCTCTTTCCAAATACTACAACCAGAAAGGAATGCTGCCATTAAAGCTATCAAAGGCACCCTGCTTGAGAGTGCCCAGTCCAATGGTTATTACTACATACCTCACGAAGAACATTAAGACGAAGAAAGATAAACTCTCCTTCTGCACAAGGAAGACTATCTGCAAGTTCATCATGCTGCAAGAATGGAAATGAAAATTAAAGTCTACTCTAAACTCTGTAATTTTTTCCAACCAAGCAAATTTTAATGCTTTTCCTAAAGAAAGGTTCATTTTTAAATTGTAAGCATTAACTAGAAAAAACTCACCAAATCATTTGAAAATAAAAATTTTATTTTAAACCCAATCACACCTACCCCAGACGTCAGCAAACATTTTCTGCAAAAGGCCAGATAGTAAATAGCCTTTGGGGGACATATACAGTCTCTGTTGAACATTCTTTCATGTTTTATTTTGGTTTTTACAATCCTTTAAAAATGTAAAAACCATCCTTAGCTCATGGGCCAAAACTGAAGGACTGTGGTTCACCAATCCCTGACCGATACCTAGGCCTTATTAGTATTTTAATGTATATGCCTCTAGCCTCTTCTTTGTGAACCTACGTGCATAGGTACATGTATATTGTCTTTATTGTATTAAATATCTGAAATCATATATTTCCACCTTATATTTTTTTCCACTTGTCACCACCCTAAGCTAGTCTAACCCTAGTGCTTGCTATCAACAATGTCTTTTAAAGAGGCACCATATTCTTAAAACAAAAGCCCACCCTGTTCTACATCCAACCAATATTAATATTTTAATGTATATTCCTCTAGCCCCTTCTCTCTGAATATATGTGCAGATACATGTACATTGTCTTTATTGTATTGCATATCTGAAATCATATGCATATTTTATTTTGTATCTACCTTTTTCACTCAAGAATGTCTTTTAAAAAAGCACCATATTCTTTTAAGACAGAAGCACCTTTAAAGGAAACTGGATCTAACTAAGTGAACCCAAAAATACACAGAAACTGGGAGTAACTTAAAAGTATCAAGAAGTTTTTAATAAATTTGATTTG